TAAAATAAGATTCTTTTAATTAATAAAAGAGCTAACAAAACGATATATTGTAATAATATGCAATATTTCAGCTGAAACTTGAATAAAAACACATTTACCTAACAGTATACCGCCACGGTATCAAAATATACTGTAAGAGCATACAGTTATACTGCAACAGTATACTGTAATAGTATACATATATACCGGAACGATATACTATAATAATCTACAATTTCAACATAAATTTAAATAATAACACAGTTACCCATCAGTATACCGTTACTATATCACAATATACTGTAAGAGTATACTATAATATATAGAGTATATAGTTATATTGCAACAATATACTATAATAGTATACATATCTACCGAAACGTTATATGGGTAGGGTCGCGTAATTATTTTGTATAGGTAAAATTAGGGTAATTATTTTGGTTTCTATGGGTAACCCTGTATATATCCCTATTATATAAGAGGCACATGATTTACCGACATTTTTTAATTCTCAATGCTCAAATTAAGATCTCTAATTAAGTGTAAAAATCCCGTGATAATATTGTATACGGGTAAAATCGGGGACAATGCATACCCCGATTTCCCGGTGAAGAAGACGAAAGAAGAACGCGGACGCACGAGGTTGATATCGAGGCTGGGAGCCCTTCGTGTTCGAGATCCATAAAAGGTGAACGATGTACTTATCATTAGGCGTGATAAAGCAACGCTCCCCAGACCCAGAACGAGCTCTAAGACCTCGGAAAATATGAAAAACGGTTACGCACGACGAATAGAGGGCCATGATATTCGTATCTAACCGGATATCACAGCGCATATCTCGCTCGATGTCGGTTACGGATCCGTAATTAACGAGAAAGAAAGATTTTTACCCTTATTAGACTTGTACTAAGGATGAAACTCTCCTACTACATAAAAGGAAATTTTTTCTTTGATAACACATATCGTAACACACGAATCAAATCAATACAAATTCATTCTCTGCTTTCTAGCTACTGCAAAAGTTCTTATTTAATTGTTCTGCTCTTTGTTCAAAATCAGACTCGAGCCAAGGGTCCAATCGAGGGCAAAATTACTGTTCAACCTAGGTTTGGGATAAGCCATAACATCATAACTGGTTTGATAGTTCATTTGTCTTTAATTCATTTATCTAATATTCTTGATTATTTATTTTGAATCAATCCACAGATCCTTAAAGTCGCGTACAAATTTAATTATTACCCGATTTAAGGGTAAACAGTTTGGCGCCGACCGTGGGGCTAAGGATAATAGTGGTGATTTGGTACAAATCTCTAACACACTCTATTTTACGCTTGTTCTTTAAAGTCTTAATTTCAGGTCAGCTTAAAAATGTCAAATTCTCAGTCTGCCCACTTGAACGTTGACGCTAAATCTGGCCATGATAGCGAAAACAATAATCTGATGCCTAGCAACGAGGTGCCTCCTTCTGATCCCAATGTTATCCCAGCCACCAATTCGGTCGATGCTAACTCATTGGTGGTCATCAACGTTAATTTTTCAACTGATCCCGAAAAGAGTATTCGCGGGGGATCCCGACCAATAGCTCGAGAAGCGCCCAAAGGCGAAGGTGATGGGGTAAGCTAGCAGCTAATCTTTGGAATGTTGCAGGCTCAACAGATGGCAATAGCACAACTACAGAATCAAGGCCATGCCCCTAGCAGGGTCGAGCCCGAATATTAATCTCGAGAAAGCACTCGAAGAAACAAACAAATCACAGAAGACCGGGTGAAGTCGAGTTTGGGGTCAACCCCGAGATAATGAAAATGCTTGAAGTATTAACGAAGCGGGTGGAGTTAGTTTGAGAGAGGACTATCGGAGGCAGTTTGAGCGCCTTCAGCAGGGTTCTATGACCGTCACCCAATACGAGACCATATTTGTTGATTTGGCCCGTCATGCTCTTCTTATACTTCCCACCGAGAGAAAGAAGGTGAGGAGGTTTATTGAGGGACTTGCTCAGCCTATCAGATTACAGATGGCTAAGGAGACAGGGAGTGAGATTTCTTTTCAGGATGCAGCCAATGTGGCCAGACGAGTTGAGATGGTTTTAGCTCAGGGGAGTGGTCAGGGGTCCGACAAGAGGCCTCGTCACTACGGTGGATTCAGTGGGGCCTCATCAGGAGGCCGGGGTACTTTTGGTAGAGGCCATCATCCCAGGCCATTTCATTCAGCACTTCAGACATCCCGTGGAGCTTTAGGGGGTCGTGGTACTTATGTACCTCCTTCAGGGCAGCCAGCTTATAGTGCACCGCCAGCTCCCATCAGAGCAGCTCCTCTTTAGAGTTATTATCGCGATCAACTGTCCCGTCAGGGTCAGTCTCAGCTTCCCCAGCCGCAGTATTTAGATGGATGTTTTGAGTGTGGTGAGTATGGGCATGTCCGGAGGACCTATCCGAGATTACTGGGTGTTCAGTCGCAGCAGCAGAGTTCTCGTGCCATGATTCCGGCACCGCCTGCCCAGCCAGCTAGAGGTAGGGGTTAGGGAGCCAGAGGTAGGGGTCAGCCCGCTAGAGGTGGAGGTCAGGCTGTTAGAGGTGGAGGCCAGGCCGCTAGAGGTGGAGGCCAGACAGCAGGAGGTCGTCCCAGGGATATGGTTTAGGGTGGTGGGGCCCAACCCCGATGTTATGCTTTCCCAGCCAGGCCTGAGGCTGAGTCCTCCGATGCAGTTATCACATGTACTGTTTTGGTTTGTAGTAGAGATGCTTCAGTTCTATTTGATCCAGGGTCTACATACTCCTATGTGTCATCTTATTTTGCTTCATATTTGGTCGGTAAGTTCGGGTCAAGGTCCATGGCGTGAACTCAATTCGCTTTATTTCCTAACAACTAAGAATTTTATTTCTAGTTTGAAGGGTAAACCTATTCATGTAAGAAGTGAAAATGTGAATACATGACAACGACAATAACAACAAACCCGGTGAGTTCTCACAAATGGGGTCTGGGAAGGGTAAGATGTACATAGCCTTATCCTTACCTTGGAAGGGCAGAAAGGTTATTTCTGATAGAATTTCGGCTAAAGAAAGAATGAAAAAGAAGTAATGGCAAAAGGTAGGAACAACAACAAGAAAAAAAGAAGATCGAAGCCAAAATAGCAGTTAAACATCAGATAGTAATAGCAATCTATGAATAAAAAGATATCATACTAACACTAATGTTATCAGGCTCGGGGGTGAATGGGTAGTCGGGTTATGGTTCGAATTTCGGGTTTTGACCAAGCGGGCCCGCGGTCGATTTTTGACTTTTTGTGGAAAATGTTGGGGAATCTATAATTATGCATTGGAATTGATTTCTTTAGCGGTAATTAATGTTATTAAGTTGATTATGACTAGATACGAGTGCATTGGATGTGGAATCGAGAGGTAAAGCGGTATTTGAGCTTTGAAATACCCGTTGGCTTGAGGTAAGTGTTTGGTCTAACCCTGACTCGAGGGATTAGGGATCCCCGACTTACTTGCTATGTGATTCCATGTGTGTGGCGTATAGGTGTGGTGACGAGTACCTATGCGCCGCCAAGTTATCTGTTTAGCCTGTTCCCTTCCCCGTTTCCTAATGTATTGCTTTACTGTCTTAACTGCTACCTGCTTATTGATGCTTCCATGTCTAACTGCTTCTTGTTAAACGTTGTTTTCTCTATTGAAGGCATTAATTGTTCCGTAGTTTCATTATATTATATTGTTGGTTTATGTTGGTTTATTGGTGCTTCATGGTACACTTTGGTTGGTCTCGTTGTGTAGTATTAACTGATGAAGTTTTATAATTGTAGAGATCTTCCGTTGTTTTGGTTTGAGGTATACATGTTGTGGAGGATTTGAGTTAACTTGTGAAATACTTGTTCTTATCTTGTGATTGGTACTGATATGGTGGGATCGGGTTGCACGCCGACAGGAGGAATAAGGGTGAAATGTGATTGTCTGGTGGGATCGGGTTGCGCACCGCAACAAGGAGTAATAAGGGTGGACAGGTGGGATCGGGTTGCACGTCGCAACAGGAGGAATAAGGGTGATATATTGAGGAGTAATAAGGGTAGACTGGTGGGATCGGGTTGGACGTCGCAACAAGGAGTAATAAGGGTGAATGTTCATATTGTTATTGATTATATGGTAGGATCGGGATGCGCGCCGCATCATTTGTTGTTTATGTTTTCTTCTTCTGCTGAGATTCATTATTGTGGTGTTGAAACTCTCTTAAGGATTGGTTATAGCTGAGTATTGGTAGAACGGCTGGGTTCCGTATTTATTTAATGCAAGTTACTGTCCTATTTCATTCCGTAGTTTCTTTTTGCCTTATTATAAATTGTTGTAGGATATATTGTTTATACCCCGCCGTAGCCTTGTCACTACTTCGTCGAGGTTAGGCTCGACACTTACCAGTACACGGGGTCGGTTGTACTGATACTGCACTCTGCACTTTCTGTGCAGATTTCGGAGCTGGTAGTGGCTGATCGAGAGGTCGGTTGCTGATACTTTAGTCAGGAGACCCAAGGTAGTCCTGCAGGCGTCCGCAGGCCCTGGCGTCCCCTCCTACATTCTATATCTCTGTTTTATTTACTTTCGGGACATATGTATTTTTCTTTCAGACCAGTATTTGTAGTAATCTGTAGAAAGTTCGTGAGTTGTGACGCCAGTTTCTGGGTGGTAAGTGTTTAGGTTTTTCTGTTAATAGTATAAAGATGATCAGTTAATTATGTACTTCTGCGTTTAATTCTGTTGATTTAATGTTGTTTAGTTTTAATTATAAAAAGTAAAGGAAAAAGGTGAACAATTCTCTAACGTTGGCTTGCCTAGTGAGTGCGATGTTAGGCGCTATCACGATTCCGACGATAAGAAATTCGGATCGTGACAGTTTATAACCTTCCTCACTTCATATTCATTACCTTCCTCATTTAAGGGAGGGGGGGTATATGAAGTTCTGTAATTGTTCCAAAATAGAAGTAATGTAATGGTGTGTGAACGATTCAGAAAAAAGGGGAAGCAAAAAAAGACCAAAGAAAATACTTATGCGCGTAATATAGGTACATAACAATACAGCAACATCTAGCAAACATAAAAATCATACTTTACGTTGCAGAATAAGCTGGCTAATAATAAGTGCCAGAATATACTAGTAGTAAAAAGTAATTACTGACAACAAAATAAAATCCACTGATAGTGAAAGCAGCTCGCTCAGCGCTTCCTATTTGCTGGCTCCTTATGTGCATTGAAATAAACAGTGGCAACAGGGACGCCGAGATCAAGCTGGTGCGCAAACGCCCGAGTGCAGAAATGAGACCTAGCTAGTGGCGGCTGCAAAATTCCCGGCATTGGTGCCTTCTGCCGGAAAAGTACCAGTATGTACCTGTGGATCCCTACCGGCGGACGTGGTCCGACATACCCCAATACCTCATTCCCTGCAATTTAATTATACACATTCAAATTAACTGGAGTCTTAATTAATTACCTGCAGTGAATATATACTTGCGATCAATTTCAACTTTATTTTAGCACTCACAGTGAATTGGGAAGTGAGATATGGAGTGGACACGTGGCAGGAAACATGCTTACTAGGCTAACTCCGGCTTATATCAAGCTGTACTTCCTGACCCAGCTCTTATCAATGTGTGAATTGAGACAAAGGAATTCGGACTTTAGAGATTTATCCTTTTAATTTTTACGAGATCAGGTCTCTCTTCTTTTCGTCTTTTTCTTATATGTGTAAAGGCACAGATGTTATAATTCGAGTCTGACCTAAATTCAGAAAAAAGAGGCTACGACCGCGGAATTGCGTGTGATATTGATATAGAAATGGACTTTAACCTAACTCAACCCTAAAACTGTCTCATGACTGAGAATTATATTGCCAAGACCATATTAAGGAGATTTATTTATATTTTTCCACCCCCAATGTGTGACTCAACAACGTGATATCGTGCTTAATTCGAATGATTTTTGTTTGCATGGAATTTGAACACTAGCTAGAGACTTTATTAATCGGCTACTTCATTTTTTGAGAGTCAGCCAAGTAACCGTGAATGTTTTCTGATTTTGGAAAAGCTTGAAATATAATGATCAATTTACCTCGAGCGACGTTAGTGCACCCTGGTATGTCTGTCACAATCCTGAAGCAATCCGAAATTACGTAAGAGGTAAACATATAAAGAAAAACAGTCAACAAATTAAAGGAAGGAAAAAAAAAAAAAAAAGGAAAAGGATAGAGAGAGGTGATCAGGTGAATTTGCTGAGAAAAAAAAAATACTGACCAATGCACCCACTCTCGCATATTGGGTTCACTCGGACTGGGGGCATCTGGATCCGTCATAACCTACACCATCAATCGCCATGCATGCGTTAACATATGTTTTCTCTGTTTGTGGTGTTTTGATTTATCATGAAATCTAATTTAAAAAATATTTTTAAAATACTTTTTCAATTTTTTTTGGAGTTACTATATAGTCGCTCTTAAAATATATATATATATATATATATATATATATATATATATATATATATATATATATATATAAGTGATAATACTCTTTGTTTTAAAATATATGCATGTGACTATATATAAACACATATCATTAAAGATAAAGCAAAAAGTTCAAAGCTAAAACATTCTTAAATATTAAAAAATACCATTTTTTCCTAGACGAATTAAAAATAAGTGTGACATAAAATAAAACAGGCAACAACGAACCAGAGTGTAAAGGTCAGCAGCATGGCCACCCACGGTGATTTTTGGAGGATCAGCCGCAATAGAGGGTTTGATATCGCAACCATTTGTAACATGTTTGTTGCCAAAGTGCACAGACATAGTGACACTGGGCACGAACATGTCCACTACATCCCCAATTACTCTTCCAACCACCAACGGATCAACTTTTGCAGCCATTAAAATGGAAATATATGTTTGTTGGGAAGCAAAAAAGGATATAACACTAATTTGAGGTACTGGGGTTTAAATAGCAGCATGAAGGAAAAGACAGCCTTAAAGGATTTTGTGCAACCTACGTTGTGAACATGCATAGGGCAATAGAAAAAACAAGGCAACACGTGTCATGTGATTCCTCTGTTCTGAAACTAAAATCCATAAGAATTTCATAATAAGGTCTTGACACGCGTTGTTACTACGAGGAAAATCTGCCATCGGTTACAGAAGAAAAAAGAGGAGAATAATGGAAATGAATACAACAGCTAAAAAGCTAGAATTCACTGTGCTTAAGATAAGGAGATGAAACAATTGAAAGGCGATATTTAATGGGGTTGTCCATGTTTTACATGCATGTATTTCAACTTTCCTTTTGCCTTTTTTTTTTTTGTACTGCTTCTGTCTTGCTTTTAATTTGTTGTTTCCCCAGAAATCCCACACCCCTACAAACACCCAAAGTTCGCAAGGATTCCCTCATTAAAGTGAACGTTAAGATCGTCAGTCATAACTTCTTTCACAAACGTAAAAAACATACACTTGATTCTATTTTTCTGTGCACTCAATTCGAGTCGAAGAACTCGTTTCTCATTCTTTAGCAACTATTCTAATTCTTAACAAACTACCTTAGCGCATTTATGCAACAAGGACTTCTTTTATATGCTAATTGCACTATATATCACGTTACTGAAAAGAAAATTATATGTAAAATAATCAGTCAATTAAACAGCAACAACAACATAATAGGTGCCCTAAATGAGTCGAGGTCGATTATATGACTTGTTGATGATTATGTTTATGTATACGGTTAAAATCGGGCTTGCCCTCTTTATTCAGCTGATCGAGGGAGGAGCATGATAAGTCGAGGATCGGCTTCGATTTATATCAAACTGTGGTGCATGGTTAGGTTGTCAAGCTCGAGATGCACGAGACCGATTGAGATCAAGACCGACCAAAACCGAGACCGAATGAGATCGAGATCGATCAAGATCGGGACCAAATAAGATAGAGATCGAGGGAAGCTTACTGGGTCGAAAACTGAAAGACGAAATGTTGCGCCCCCTTTTTTCCCTCCTCGCGGGGAGAAGTCCGGGTTTCGACATTTCATGGGGTAATAACTCATTTCCTTTTTGGGAATTGGGTACTTGAAGAGTCGCCACCTAATGGATTATGGTGCGTTAGGGCACCCAGAGCGATTAACTCTTAGATTGGTTTGCATAACCAGAGATTAGGGTAAGGGCTCGAAATAACCTCGATGGGAAAGTGTTAGGCACCCCTCTTGGTCCACAACTGTGGGTCCCGGCCGAACTCATACTTACGAATTAGTCCATTAACAAAACAAACAGTTGAAGAAAATAATTGCAAGTAGAACATGTTGGGCATTATATAACTCAAATAATAAGACAAGAATTTAAACAAGTTGTGTGCGTAAAAAAGGAAAGTAAAGTTTCCAAGTGAAGAGAATTTGGGAGAGAGGGGTCCTAGGTTGGTTAGCTTATAGGATCACATCAGTACAATGCCCGGTAATCACTCCTTAGAAAGGGGCTACGCGTGGCATTAGCGCACCGGTCATCATATCCATATCTACCCTTCCCATTCCTTTAGTGGTCATTCAAAGCGAGTGTTGGTCAGCGATCTCTATTGCGTGCTGCTACCCGTCCCTTCTTAATGGTCCTGGAGAGATCTAGGACCTCTACCTATAGGTGGTTCTAGACAGACCCCCTAAGGTTTAAAAGGTAAAAGTACTAAGGCGACAAGCAATAACACATAGGACTCTTAGCAAACAAGAACAGGAAGGAGCAAATAAGAGGCTCAGTTTACCTCCACAAATAAGGCATGTAAACAGCACGACTCAAACACAAATAAAGGCTTTTTTGTTAAACAGTATCCTAAGGCAGGATGTCTAAATGAATATACAGAAGACGAGCAGTTTATTTTTATAAACTCAGAAGTAAAGCCCTGTCAGTTACCCACTAATTTTTTAAAGCCTGTTAAACCAGAAGATGAAGTCACAGAAGCGGTTTCAGAGTTGCAAGATTTGAAAACGTCCTGTAGGTTTGCCTATACGCGGAATACAGATGACTACATTTTATATAGAAACAAGGCAATTTTTTTTTTTTAAAAAAACGGACTTTTTAGTCCCTATAGGCATGCTGTCTAATGATAGATTAAAGCAGTTTTGAAAGAACTCAGTTTAGGAAAAATAAACCATTAATTAAACCAGTTTCGAAGGGAACTGAACGTGGACTGGATTGATTTATTTAAACTAGTTTAGATCGACAGGCAGAATTTCTGGTGTTGTTCCCTATAGGCATGATATCTAGTTGTTTAATACTGATTTTAGAAAACTTGCAGGCATGATGACAAATGAAAAACACATGTAAACACTTGTTATAACAGAAGCTGGGTTAAATTATATCCTATAGGCATGACATCTACTTGTGAAACTAATTTTAAGACTTATAAACATGATTTCTATTATGGAATCACTTGAAACCTATATGCATAATTTCTAACATGGTGAGACAAACATTACAAGATGTAAAGTCCTACAGGCATGGTTTCTACCCGTATTACCCCACAAACATGTAGCTATCCACCCCTTTTCACTCATTACCCCAATATTCATTTACGAATTTGTCACGCCCCAAAACCGAGGGACATGACCGGCGCTCGACCGGGTAGCCCCAGTCAAGCGGACCTGGGTGCCTTTCCTATCCCACGTGTTACCCCGTGTTTTTATTACTCATTAATCAAAGGAAATAGCCATTTATGATTTAAACACCTTTTTACGAAATATACATAACATACATGGTTACTTAGCGTGGTTTACAAGTTATGCTGCCCAAATACAAGATACATAAGTACATAACTCACATTTCCTGTCTACGAAGCCTCTAGGGATACAAAAGAGTTTTTTTCAATACTTGCCGGTAACAAGGTTCCGGCTATCCTTACACAAATACCAAAATAATACTCCGGGAAGAAAAGCGGCATGAGCCACGCAGGGCCCCGAGAGGAAAGGGGCTCACCAATACAGCTGACGGAAAGTGGAGGAGGTGCTACTGTCGGTGGACTGGAGTACCTGCTATAGAACCACCTACAATCATAACAAGAATGTAGCGCCCCCGACAAAAGGGACGTCAGTACATTTGAATTGTACTGGTATGTATGAACAAACTTTACCCCAAGTAAAATCAATCGATACACAAATAACAAACAGTAATGGAATCAACAATCAAATGCACATGAAAGAAACAACCAAAGCCAAACAAGTTTCACAATCTCTCATTTTCCCCTTTTCAACATTATCTCATCACATCAATGATTCCACAACTTTCACATATTTTCATTTCAATAGTGATTTCGATCACTTTTCCACCCTTATTACCTCGGCCACCCTTATTACCTCATCCACCCTTATCACCACAACCCACACCTTATAACTTTGTGTTGCGGCGCGCAACCCGATCCCACCAGACATTCACATTTAACACAACAACAATAGTTCACAGTTCAATCACATGGCTTTAGGCCATCCCGAATATCATTTCACAACAACAATAACAATTTAAGTCACAACGATAATTGCCCACGACAAGCCACACATGATGTTACCACAGTTGTTTCAATTGCATCAATCACGACTTCTTTCCATCATTTATTTCACAGCCCTTACCACATAAACACATTCACACACACACTTGGTTTGTTGCCATTTATTCGCACCGTCATATCGGAACGTTAACCAACAATGTTCAAGGCAATTTAGTCACAAGAATTCATGAAATAGGCCATCTTGCCCTAACACCCGTGAAGCAAACAAAATTCACAAATAGTCCACATAACAAACGCATACCAATTTCTCGTACACCAAACAGGGTGACTTTACAAAGGTTAAGGTTAGCCATACATACCTGGGGTCGAATTTCCCTTTTCAACTTCTACTTTCAATTCACCAAACAGCCTAGTACCATCAATCTAGTTCACAAGTTAACACATATATCTTAGAATTGAAGTTCACAATTACTACCCGAATTTATTTAGGTTATCAACCGCCCCTTTTGCAAATTTATACTCCTACCCAATTCTTTTTACTTGATTTTAGGTATTAAAGTACATGCATGTATGTTTTCAACTTTTATTTTCAAGAATCAATGCATGAGAATCCCCTTTTTGTTTAAATCCGAAAATCAATGAAAAAGGGCTGGGTATTTTACCTGCAAGAACGGAGACGAAGACAATTGCTTGAAATTTCCCGGCCCAGGTGACTTTGAAGAATCAAATTGATGAAGGTAGGACTTTCTCTCTCAAGAACTCTCTCTTCCCTCTCTCTAGTTTGTTCAGAAAATATGTTAAAATGAGGGGTTGGGTTCTTTTATTGAAGAAGGGGTCGGGTTTAAAATTTAGAAAAATAGGAGCCCCGAGTCAGGTATGCGATCGCATTTGCGATCGCAAAGAAGAAATGCGGCCCGCAGAATGGACCGCAAAAGTGCTCCAAGAATCTAACCCTTCTGTCTGGGTTTGCGGCAGAAATGCGGTTCGCATACACGTTCTACGGTCGCATAATGCACCGCATAACTGTCCTTTGCAAAATTCCAAGATGATTATGCGACGACTATGCGGTCCGCATATCAGTTATGCGATCGCATAATGGACCGCATTTTGACCTCAAATTTGACTAACACACTGACTCACTTTGCGATAGAAATGCGGTCCGCATACTTGATTTGCGACCGCATTCTGGACTGCATAATAGCACTTTTCTGGAAAACTTTAATTCTTGATTTTTAAATGCTTAGATCAGTACAAAGGGTCCGAACCGCGGCGAGCTTTACACATTCCTAACACACGCTCGGAACTGGGCACTACGAGCTACTAGGTTTTGAGTACAAATTTTCACGGGGCCTTACAGAATTATTACAGACCATATGAATGAATTACATAAGTAAATAAAAAAAAAAATAAGAAGTTATTCTATGGGGAGCCTTTAATTAG